GGATTGATCCCAGTGTACTATACCGGATTGATCCCAGTGTACTATACCGGATTGATCCCAGTGTACTATACCGGATTGATTGCTGAGTTGCTGTATCCTAACCAGAATACACAGGAAAACACTGCTGGGTAAATACAACATCCACTAAAAATAGGAAATTATTAAAGGGACTGTATCAGTAATTTCAAGTGATCCTCCATTAAAAGATGGTAATATCCTATTCACAATGATACCCTAGTCACAATGATACCCTAGTCACAATGATATCCTAGTCACAATGATACCCTTCAAGTTTTGTCTGATGAAGTATAAAGAGTTAGCAATGCTTATAAATATGTAAACTGAGCTGCAAGAACTTTAGAATGGGATACCTGTAATCCCGACTGCTAAATCCTTTTTGGATATAGTAAAGAAAAATTAAAAACCAGCTTTTCTAAATTAGAGAGTCCCTCCCTTCTCTGTAAATGGCGCGCAAAATTTCAAATTTCCCGGCTTCTGATACACCACTCTGATTGGTTGAATTTTATATACTTTTCAGGATACAAGTACAAGATTAGATTAGTCTTGAGATTAAGTAAAAGAGAGGACCAAGCATAGATCTTGATATCCACCATTCTAAAGTTCCCAGCTCTGATTACTTCTATGTTGAATAAATTCAACAACGGTCTAGTTTTTCCGTAGAAAAAAAATAAAGTTGTTAAAAAATTATCATTTTTAAAACTAACGATGTAAAAAAGGCATATTTAACTTAAGTAGCTTGCATGGTTTAGTTAACTACTTGGATTGTTCTGTGCAGAGGGGGCAAACAGGAGATATAGAATACAAGAAGAAGAATGGCAGCCAACAGAGGATAAAGGAACCCATGATTAAACCTAAAATATATGATTGTTAAACTCTATCAGAAGAATGGTAGCCAACAGAGGATAAAGGAACCCATGATTAAACTTGAAATATATGATTGTTAAACTATAAGAAGAATGGTAGCCAACAGATGATAAATTAACCCATGATTAAACCTGAAATATATGATTGTTAAACTCTATCAGAAGAATGGTAGCCAACAGAGAATAAAGGAACCCATGATTAAACCTGAAATATATGATTGTTAAACTCTATAAGAAGAATGGTAGCCAACAGAGAATAAAGGAACCCATAATTAAACCTAAAAAGAAAATGTCGTCATTTATATTTTTTGAAAATGTGCCAATTCAAACAGAAAAATCCAAGAAAATTTGCGAACGATAATAATGGCGACTTTTTGAGAATCAGTAAGAAGAATTGTTATTAGAAAAGGTGGTACAAATTGCGCCCTAAAAGCAGTTTCTCAAATTCTAAAACGCTTCTATCCCTTTATTAAATAATATAATTACAATTTGTTAATTTCCTAGGGAAAGGATTTAAAACAAAGTTAAATTATATTAAACGGTTTCTATGAGAAGATATTTCGTTAAAACTTTGCTAAATTTAATAAGATTGCTCTGATAGTTCTTCAGAGCAAACCAAATAGTTTAAGGTTTAATCAAAACCTGAAAGGTTCTCTAGAGGAAGTGTCTCTTTATGTGTAAAGAGGCATGTCCGCTACCCTTTAAACCTAGCTTTGTCTGATCAAGGTTGAAGTTGAAACTTAGTTTTTTTCACTTATTATTTTTGTTATGATTTCTCGTGAAAGTGAAGACAATGAAAGAAATCTTCAGAATTACTTTATTTTCAATCAAACTTTTAGTTCTTTAAAACATATAACTTACAGAATGAATAAGCGAAAAATCTAACCTTTTTCACAACAATGTTTTTGTCAGTAAAATCAAAAATAATGATTCTTTCTTCAAAAATTTAGTATTTTAGATCATTTGTTTCGATCAAAATGTTTATTTTCTTATTTTTTCCGAAAAAATCTATTTGAAACTTTAAATTTTACCATAAAAATGATGTAACAAATTTATACCTAGGATAAAGATTGCCCTTCTCTCCTTCGCTCGAGCAATTTTTCTTTTTTCCTTTTCTCTTTCATTTTCTCCGTTCTTCCGTCTTAAAATAAATCAATTAATTAATGATCTAACTTTTTATCACTCCCCCCCCCCCTCCAGCACATTTTTTAAGGCAAAACCGTTTTGATCTATTTTTAATTATCTATATGATAAAACAAGACATTGGTATATATGTTCCCTCTGTTTACAAAATATTCAACTATTTTTTCATAAAAGCAATTACTTACACTGTTAAAACTGCACTTTCATGTTACTTCAGATATCTATCAGGAACGGGTTTCAAATACAAATTAGTGTTATGTTACTAAGTCTCTATAGAGACTTACTTATTTAGAAACAATAAAACAATTTCCAGAAATGTTTTCTTCAGTTTACCTTGATTGTTAGTTTAAAACAGTTGAAAATGTCAAAAAGTTTTAACTAACTATGATTTGAAGAAAATCTAGATAAAAACTGTTCTGAAAACTGTTTAACGCATTTCAAGTCTTGATTGTGAGATAAAGAGTATTTGGAAAAATTAGGGAAAATTACTGGAGGATGATCTGTTCAATCTGTATTATCTGGGAGACAAGTTTGAGCTGTGTGGAGCCAGGAACCTGATCAAGGAAGTTGTCTCCAGCTTCAAGATCAACCAGGAGAACTGGCTTGATGTACTCAAGGGGGTCAAGAAATACGAGGATAATTACCTGTTCGAAGATCTCTGTAACATACTTCAGGATAAAATTCAAGGTATTGGGATTTATTCAATTGATAAACATTGATTTTACTATGCTGATGATAAACAGGTGATCTTTAGTAATACTAGAAGAAGAGGAATAAAGAAAACCCTCCTAAGCTTTAAAAAAAATTCACCTGATTAAAAAATATTCAATATTAAATGTAATATTTTTGTAGGGGTATATATTTCTTAGACATATCATTCCCCCCATCCTTCTTCGGGTTTAATGCTTCATCTAAGACCCAACTGAAGTAACAGCTGGCAATATCTTGTGTCACATTATTAACAGCTGCTAGGTCACAAACTACACTTAAAGAGTTAGGCCAGATGAAAATATTATCAATCTTGGATGGATTTAGTGGAGAATTAGTCATAATGTTGAGTCTGATTCTAATCAAATCCAAAAACCACCATTACAACTAGTAAAATTCCTAGTCAAATACAATATTAAGCCCAACTCTGTCCTGTTGAAATTTAGTCGCAAAGCTTTCTGAATTTAGTTTTTATGACAGCTTAATCTTAACATAAGATTTCACTACATTTTCAAAATACGGTGAAATTCATATTGATAAGTTTCTCACGCTTGATATCTTTATCTTTAGACTACCTGAAGGGTGTGACCTCTTCTGATCAATATTTGGAGAGTATTCAAGAATCTGAAATCAGAAATGGAACAGATCAGACACAGGTTGGTCTTGGTTTAACCTTTTATTCTCATCATAATAACTTAATTTTTGTCCATCTTCAAACTCAACAGTTCAAAGTAATAATTTTTTCAGATTTAGATTTTATGGCATTTATTCCAAAGAAGTGTACTTTTTAAAAGTGTAGTTAGTCTAAAATTTTGTTAATTTGTTCTGTTATTTAAACTAACTGTTAATATACCGTTTTTCAAAAGTCTGAATGTGCCTAATTGAGTATCAATGCATTGGCAGTTCTATATAAGTTGTACTCATTTATTTGTTAGTCCAGGGGTTTACATTTTCTTTAAAATCATTTCCCATAAAATAAATGATTTTTTTGATAAAAAGGACTTTTTAAACTCATGTTTTTTTATGAAAGGTAAACTAATTTCTAATATTTAGGGTTTCATCAAGTAGAGATGAAGAATTCCAAAAAAATCAAAATCATCGATTTACAGACTCAAACTCAGAATTTGGAATCACAGCTAAAAAGCATATCAAATAGAAAAAAAATATTAAAAAATATACACGAGAAAATAAGGAAAAGGCAAGAGAGATCCAGATTTTAAAGTCCTAAGCCCTGTTTAATTGCCCTTGTCATGAGTATGGAGGGAGGAATGTTCCCTTGAAGGACATAGTTGAGTATCAAACATTGTGATTATATAGAGTATAGAAATTGTTATCTGGAGCTGAATACAGAAATGAACATAAGACTTGATTTTATAGGAGCTGTTGTTTACAAGCTGGAAGCATCTGACATCTGGTTTGTGATTGTTAGAACTTTGATTAGTGGATCAGTGTGTTGCTCTACATCATGCATTACAAAAAAGAAAAAAACAATTTTAGATATTTTCATAATAGAGTTATGAAAGATAAAACGGTCAGATGTGCTCTTATGGGGATATCAGTTAAAAATGCTTACAACAATAACTTCACAACGACCATGAACAATGAACGTGCTCTTGTGTTGGCATTAAAAATATAAAAAGCATAACCATCTTTGATCACTATCTCATCTTAAACATCTCAGGGAGTGTTTCTGAAATATAAAGAGTATATTGACAAACTAAATTAAGGTTATATTTTAAAATACAATAAAGTAATTAAGTTCTTGCCAAAAACTCTAACTTTATAATCCATATATATCTTTGTAACCAGCTACGGAACATGAACTGTTTATTGTCAACTATGCGAGAACGAAGAAATACAGAAAATCTGATATTCCTTATAGGCAGAGAAAATTAAACTCCCTTGATATAACCTTATCTTATTTTGTGATAAAACCCATGATGTATTCAATTATATTCTTATAGAATTTTAACCATATTATAATATTTATTATGATCTTGATTTATCTTGAATAAATCTTACTTTACTATCTTTGTAACCTAAAAGTGCAAGCCTGTGTTTTTTAATTTAGACTTTTTGATATAAACATGTTGAATATATAGCCTCTGGATTTATAAAACTTTCTCTATTAACCAAAGGATTAGTGACTTTTTAATTAAAAAAGTTTTCAGTTTGTCTTCAAAAATTTCAAATTTTAACTAAGTTTGTGATTTGACATAAATGAACCTTGCAAAACTATAAATGAAAGGGACTTGTAATTTTAAATAACTTTCCATTAAAAAAGAGGGGTAAGTCTTATTCACAATATTACCCCTTAAATATCTATTCTGAGTTAACAAGTGAAAGATTTCGTCGTATTCCAAACTAGAAAAATGTTTAATTATAATTTTCTCCATTTTTTCTTTTGTAAGAGATCTCAACGTCATTTTGCAGAGAAACCGTAATTCAAAATAGATTCAATTGTCAAAGAGAAGATGATGGATATCTTTAAACTTATGTTTACAGTCTAGATCTAAAATCGCCAAGTAATCAATCAAAGTATCAATTCCATTTAGTTTAGTTTTATTTTAATAATTTAAACTTCAGAACTAAGTTTCTAACACTACATTGATTAATATTTACAAAGCATTTTTGATCCTTTACAGTCCATTAATGTAAATTACATATTAGCATAGACAAACAAACATACATTTTTATCTACGAGTTCCAATACATTTTATTTAAGATATAACGTTAAACACTGAAAAATATGTACAAAACATTATCAATCTTTTACATTTCCATCAATACAATTATATAGAAAACAACATACAATATATTTAATCTACGAGTAGATATGCAGTTTATACAGGGTTACCCACAAAGAATGACTAATTAATTACGACGACATAAAAATCTTTAAATATCATGATATAAAGATGGAACTTGGTCTTTTGCCTTTTATAAAGTTTTTAAACGATATATTATGTACACTGTACAACTTTATTAACCGATAAACATGTAAGAGAATCTTATGAATAAAATAGGTTCAGTAATTTCTCCCCTCTCACCTTTAATGGTAACCCTGTATTGTTTCACCTTCTGTAAACGAACCAAAAACGAAAATATAAGCTATAAATGAACAAAAACGAAAATATAGGCTATTAAAAAACAAAAACGAAAATATAAGCTTTAAACGAACCGAAAACAAAAATATAAGCTTTAAACGAACCAAAAACTAATATATATAGGCTATAAACGAACCAAAAACGAAAATATAGGTTATAAACGAACCAAAAACAAAAATATAGGCTGTAAACGAAACCAAAAACGAAAATATAGGCTATAAAAGATCAAAAAAAAACGAAAATATAGGCTATAAACGAACCAGCTCAATGCACACACTACTAGCCTAGAGTGAATTAAACAATTAAGAGCACTGTACAGTGTATAGTCATAAAAGTTACATATATTGGTGGAACAAATATACATTTATCACAATATTGATTAGAAACTTTGTTGTATCGCCATTTCTCCATTGAGACAACATAAAACTGTGGAATATAAAGACAACATTTAGACAACGCTCCTCACCTCTCTACACCTCCCGGTATTCAGTCAGCTATAAACACTCAAGACATTCACAACTCCGTCTCAACCCTGGCTCCTTCATGATGATGATTCAGATACAGAACTAACAGCAGACACTGCTTACACCTAGCTCCGCGCTCCACAATGTTCCAGAGTTCCGGGCGGAACCAGAGTTCCTTCCATTATCATGCAACCCAGCGACAAGATGATCGCGGTTATTTTGTACACGATAAGTCCGCAATCTCTCTCCCTTAGACTAAGCCTAGTTGTGAGCAAACCTGCCGTCAAGATTGATGATCTGCACCACCATCATGAAGTTCTACAAACATGTTCCAACTGATATTCGTCTATAGTTTCTTTATTCATTTTTAACCAGCCAATTTTAACCCTACTTGGGAAACTATTTCAAAACTTTCGTTTATTAAATAAATGTTAGAAATACCATTAGATCTCTTTTATTTTATTATATTGACTTTTAAAGTCAACAAATATATTCTTTAGTTCTTTAACAAATGTATCATACAATTGTGTTAACTAGAGTCTATATTTATAAGTTTTTTGAGATTCTATTAAAATTTATGAGATCTTATCAAAGTTTATGAGTTTCTATCAAAAACTTTGAGATTCTAATAAGTTACATACAAATTTATCAAATTTTTAGTAAATCTGAAAAACGAATCAGAAGGAAAAATTTATAGATCCAGCTGATGAAAGAGACCATGTTAGCACAGACATACTTGTACTTTGAATTCTATCAGAGATTTTGAATTCTATCAGAGATTTTGAATTCTATAAGAGATTTTGATTTCTATCAGAGATTTTGAATTCTATCAGAGAT